CAAGTTGCACACCAGTTTAAATGCCTATCCTAGAATTATATAAAGGTACTCATATTTCATATTTGTGCAGTAGATGCACTGGTTAGAAGAATACACATATTTATTTAATTATTTATTTCATTTTGTCATGATAACCACAAGCTTCAGTTTATTTTACTGTTTTTTGTGTGATAAATCAGCACAATGCATCACACAGTTTGTAAAATGGAAGGGAATGATGCATGGTTTTCAATGATAAATGATAATCTGAAAAGTGCGGCATGAATATATGTTCAGGTCCCTCAGTCGCATCTCGCTCAGAATTCAGGAAGAGCATCTCTTGTGGTGAACTGCTAAGAGCACTCACATGGATTTATTTCAACAGCAGCTCACATCTGGCCCACCACATCTGGAGCTCGGTGATCAACATGACTTGGTAGAGTCTGAATTGTGTCTCCGGGTGTTATTTTATTAAGCCAGTCTTGCTCAAAATGTCCCCTCATTTCTATTCCTGAGGTCTGCTGTGTGTTTCTTCTTTGTGATGCTGTTTGTTTCAGGTCTCTAATAAACTTCTGAGGTCTTCACAAAACAGCTTATTTATGCTGAAAACACACAGCACAATGGAATCTAAATTTACTACTTCTAAAACATCTAGTTGGACAGGAATATTTTAGGGGTGTTAGATTAGAGCAGTGCTTCTCAATTCCTGAATTGAGTGAAGCAAAGCACAGTTTCCAATTTTTATCTAGAAAGATGATGTAAGACCGTGTGTCACTTTCCTTTGACTTCAGAATTATACTTGACCTTTGTCCAAGTGATATTGAATGCTTTTGAGAGGTACTCTATTTGCTTCACATCTAACCAAAATATGAGTTTTATTAGAAAAGCTTCAAACATAAAACACAATCTGTTTTCAGACCTGCAGACTCAAGCATACAACTATAATAAATGTTAATCATAAAAAAATATCAGAGACAAATGAGGGAATGAGAGAGACAAGACACAATCCTTGATTTCTTTATAAGAAGTTTCATGTAAGAGTAATTTACAGAGACCAGGTAGTCTAACAATGATGATTTTTTTTAACTTTGGGAGGAAGCTGGAGTACCTGGAGAGAACCCACGCTTCCAGAGGGAGAACAAGGACATTCTAACTTGTCTCTTATCCAGCTGGTGTGTGCATGTGTTTTGAGAGGGGGCTCGGTGCAGAAGGTAAGTGGATAAATGAGACAGCTACATCAGTTCAGCATGCTCTCTGTTTGTGTTAAAGATAAACTCATGTGGAAATTCTGCTTAAACATTAACGCTGCGCTCAAGGCTGCACAGAACCTCATTTTTGCAGAGTCTGCATCTGATTCACTTTCATGTTCCATCTTCAGTTCTTTGTTTTCAAATATAAACCAAAGACATTTATCATATATGCTTGGATATATTATCTTTTTTTTTTTTTTTTTTGCCCGGTCCTCCCAAAAGAAAATTTTATTTGTTCATTAGGGTTTATTTCTTCTGATCCCTCCACCTCCAATATGACAAAAAAAGTATTTTGTTTATATTTTTGTTCAATGCAGTTAAATCAAAGCCAATGATCAAACTCATATATTTAGATGTTTCATATACAAATGTATGCTATCATTTATCACTATAAAAAGTAAATATACTGAAAACTGGCTCTAAGATTTCTCTCTCGATAAACAGAAGTTTGAAAAAAAATCTTTTAAAAAAGTTAAATCAAACTACGTACTGATTGAACATTACCAGTATGTAGTTTTTCAAATTTATCACAAAGAAAAAAATTTGAAATGTGTGGTGTGTGTTAGTTTTCTTCTTCCACTCCATTCTAAATGCTTTGTAGAACTTCATTTTGTGTAAATTGCAGTTGATTTTTTTTCTGAGATAACAATGATGTTTTTTGAACTTTTCTGATTTTCATATTTCCAGAATCTAAACTTTGGCCAATGTTCTCTATAAGACGCCCCAAAGCTTGGTGAGATTAGATAAAGTTTCTACAAGCATCAATTTTCAAGCCTTGCCACCAATTCTCAGCTGAATTTATAGATCTGGGCTTTGACTGCGTGAGTTCCTGATCCTCGTGATCCACTGTCATGCATGTTTTATGAGTTTTTCTACTGCTGAACACTTGCCTTAAATGAAAGAGTGAACAGCCTTTTCAGTGCTTGGTGCCATTGCCCTTTATTTGACTCCCTCTGCCGCCTTGTCACCTCTAAATAGGTTCAAAATCATTGCTGAAGAAAAGCCCCCCACAGCATGATGCTGTCACCTCCATGTTTAGCTCTGGGGATGATGTGTTCTAGGTAATGTTCAGCTTTAGTCGTCTTTTTTTCTTTTTGTCTGTGATGATGCCTGTTCAAATTTGGCTTTGTTTAAAGAAAAGCGCCTACTGCAGGACTTCATCTTCTAATAGTGGCTTTCTGTGCTATACTTTGTGTTGATCTGGCTCATGACTTCCCAATAAAATAAACTGAAGTTTGTGCTTTTAATTTTCCCTATAAAGGTGAAAAACTTAAAGAAAAACACACATTCACTTAACGAAGGATTATTAAGTCAAGCACAACTCAATAAAAATGATCCACTATTTCATAATATTTCAGGTCTTGGCAGTGATAAACAAATTTTGATGAAAACGATATAGAAGGGGTTTTGGTAAGCATTTAGGATTTTGCCTCAAAGAATGGACCGGAAACCCATCTCACCATTCTGATAGTTGCAACAGATGACCAGTCAGGACTCCTGCTCAGACGTGGATCATCAGCCCTATTGCGCAACAGAACAGTCGCGAGCAGCTGGTGATTGATGCTGAGCTAAAATTAAAATGGCCCTTATATATTGTGGAGGTGAAAATGACCCAGGCACAAGCTGACGTGGATAAATCATTTCCCCCCCTCAGCTCCTCAAGGAAAGAATAGAACATCCATCCAAACGGGACGAGGGACAAGCTCTTATTTCTCGCTCGGTGCCGTGGCCTCTGCCTGACACTGGACCGCGTAAAAAACCGCATTTCGAGCCAACAATAGTGGACTAGTGGGGGTTCTTCTGCGCCTCGCATTGATTCGTCTCTTCGAGCCGCCGCGGCGTTGAAGATTATAATGGAGAGGGTAATTAATGTCATCTATCACTTGTTTGATTCTGTCGCTGCTTCCACCTGACAGGCCTCACGTGCGCGAGCCGTCAGCCAATGGGAGTGCGAGGGGCTTTGCCACTGAACGCAGGGCGCGTGTCTCACACCTGCAGGCTGTTGCGTTTGAAGAACCAGAAGAAGAACCAGAGGAAAGTTTTTGTTGTTGTTTTGTTTTGTTTTAGTTTATAAAAAGTTTTCCCTCAAGAAGAGGGGAAAGGTGGAAAGAGGGCTTTTCTGCCCCTTGAAATAAAAATACAACTGGACATGACGTCAAAAGTAATAAACAGACACGTCACTATGATTGATTTTCTCAGGTTATGTTTTTGAAAAACAAATCCATAATTATTTTAGATTTCAAACTCACAAGACTCAAGGAAATACATTTGACATTCAATGTTATAATGTTATAATGATCAAAGTTACGTTTAAAATTTGAACATGTGATTTTGATTTTGAAATGAGTCAGTATGAGTTGAAGTGAGAATTTTTAAAGTAAAGGTCATAATTTGACTTCAAAAATTGCATATATAAGACTGGAACTTGGAATTGGGAGATGTCAAGTCACAAATATGAGATTCTGAGTCAAATTTCTGATGAAGTCACAATACGGGATTCTAATGAACTATTTGGCTCAGTTACAACATTCAACTCATCATTTCCATTCCAAACTCATGTGTAAACTTTTGGAAACTTTTTACATTTAATGTAACACTTTTGACTGCCACAATCATATTATGACGTGCAAATTCCTAATTGTAATTCCAGTCATATTTTGTCATTGCAAGCTGATCAGCTGTCATAACAAAGACATTTTGAATAATGTCAACTTTGTATATGATTTACCGAATGACACTTTATGACAACAGTCATAAATACTTATGAAGACTTACTCGTGTTCATGACAGGTGTTACGTCATGTGTATGACGGTGTCATGACAGTCTTATTCACAACCCGTCAAATAAAGTGTTGCCGTGTTTTTCATAATCATTAGATTCATTTTAACACTGAAAGTCATTCCACCAGTTCCACTGTAATTTCACTTTGAGACTAAGATATTCAGTCATAATTATAAGAAGTCACAAATATTACACTATCACAATTATGAGAAATTCAAATTTATCTCACTTATCACTTTCAAAGATAGTTGTCCCTATCCTTTTCCATACTATTTCTGCCGCCCTGAATTGAGCTTCGGGTGTTTGTTTACCACAGAAGATCTTCCATAATTCGCATAATGAGGCGCAAAAGCTACGCACAATGGCGCTCACAATGGGGCGTTGTGCTCCCCATTTTGGTAGGAGACGGGCTTCTTGATTGGCTTGTGTGCTCCGTGAAAAACACAGTCGGGGATACAAGCAGCCTTACAACCCCAGGTTTTATTTAGATTGATCTCAATCGTGCAATAAGAATTTTGACCCGCCTCATTGTCCCGCTGACTTTCCCCGAGCCATATTTCAAAGTGTCTATATGCCCTTTGAGTGAAATGAATTGCAGCCCCCACCTTCGCCTCTCCATCCTCTCCCTACGCCCCCGGGCACTCTGAGCTATTATTGGTGTATGCAAAAGAAAACAATGCGATGCATGAAACGTAATATTAATCTCCCCGCCTTGAATGCGGACAAAGCGCCGTGGAAGGTGCGCGTCAATAATGGTTATTGAGTGCTCACCCAGCTGCGCAATTTTCCCCCGTATGCACAACCAAGTCGGGAAAAGGTCACGCATGGGGCTTTGAATAGAGGAGAAGCTCCCTATAGTTTGCTCAATTACCGTCCAGCACACTTGTCTCCCCCTGTTTCTCTCTCTCTCCTTCACACACACACACACACCCACGCACACACACGCATACACACACCCAAAACTAAGTGAATAACCAGCACGCCGCAAAGACATAATATAAATAGGTTTAACTTTATTTATAAAAACAAAAACTTGTTTTACACAAAATATATCTGTTAAAATCGAATATTTACATTTTCGACTACGAGAAACAAGTGCATACATCAATAAAGGTTCTCTATCAAAAAGAAGAAGAAAAAAAAAAACACTACAATCGGTCACAGGTAGTCATACGCGTCACACATGCCGTACCTGACAGCTGCTTTCTCAGGGTAACAAGGCTGTCAGGGGAAAAAAGTGGCAGTAATAACATTTTTTGTTTGGCTCATTGTACAAAAATAACGTCTCCGAGTTAAAACATGTTTTTTTGTCCTATGTTACAGTGTTACGAAATGTAAGCTACTACGTCATAACTGATAAAAGTCCGTTGACGCGTCATCTTCCAGGAGGAAAAGAAAAAAAAAAGTGCAGCAGGTGAGGAAGGCAGTCCGTGTTTTCCTGCATGAATTTCAGCACCGTCTCTGCACTTGTCCTGCTCCGCCGCAGCTTAATTGCACTTAATCAAACAGAGCGTCAACATTTTTCACGCGTCGGTGTGAGTCCAGCTCCTCTCTTTCTTTCTTTCGGGGGAGGGAGGGAAAAGGAAGGTGGCCGCTATTTATCTGCGGCAGGATGCTCCCTCTCTCACTTTCTCACTATTGCTTTGCTCCCTCGGAAGCTTCCAGGGACACAAATCACCTGCAAGCGCAGCGCGCAGGACGAAGAAAGCTGTGTCAGCACTTCTTGCGAGAAGTCCGATTCATGCCAAAAGAGTTTGATTTGCGGCGCCGGCGGCGTCAGTATCTGTCAAACCAGGTTGTAAAGTCCAACAGTTCCTGCTCCTCTGAGCTCAGAGGCTCGTAGCCGCCTTCGTCGGATGAGTAGGTGGAGTGAGGCGACTCCGGGTCGGCGGAGTAGCTGTTGGAGAGCGTCGGGGACGGCAGCCCGCACTGGAACGCGGCTGAGACCGCGTCGTGCTCGTCGAGGAGCTGCTGCAGAGCCCTGATGTACTCCACCGCGGACCTGAGCGTCTCCACTTTGCTCATCTTCTTGTTCGCGGCGCCGTTCGGCACGTGCTGACGCAGCGTCTGGAAGCCCATGTTGACCTGCTTGACCCGGTTCCGCTCCCTCTCGTTCCGCCGGGCCACGGCCACGGGTTGCTGTTGTGGAATGGAGTAGCCGAGGCCGTTGAAGCTCAGGCGCCGCTTGCAGCGCAGCAGCTCCGGGGAGCTGGAGCGCTGTCTCTTCAGCACCTTGGTTTTGCTCTGGAAGGCGACTGCCGCGCTCGCGTTCGGGTGCGCCGCGGCTCCCGCTGCGTCCTGGGCCGGCGCGTGCAGACTGATGGTGGCACGTCCGAAGGTGAACGCCGTCTGCGTGGTGGTGATGGTCGCAGCTTCCATCTCGCTGACAGAGCTTCTAGCGTGATCAATTCAGAGAGTAAGTGAGTGGGTTTGGCAGTGTTCAGCTCTCGTGTCCTTCGCGTGGGGACCGTGTGGCCAACTCTCGTCCAACTCTCTCTTGACTGCTTACACTCCACGAGCCGATCTGACCCAAACTTTGGCAGCACTCCTCTTTTTCAACACGCGCCCCAGCACGCACCCCACCCACACCCCTCTTTTTGGGGAGACGCACGCTTTTCGTGGCGATGCCCCGCCCCCGCTGTGTGATTCTCCAGCAAGCCCGACTCCCCCTCGGGCCAGGCGCGTGGCTCAGGGAGCTCAATAAACAATCCCGAGCTTTCACTGCGCCGGGAGCACGCGCTGGGCTCATTTACATTCCAATGTCTCCAACTTGAAGGCCCATTGGTCGATTCAAACGGCCTGCAACCGTGCGAAAAGAAAGAAAGGCAGCAAAAAAAAAAAAAAAAAAAAAAAAAAAATACAGACAGAAAGAAGAAAAAGAGTGAGGAATAAAGGGAAAAAGTGCATAGTTCGGTTCTTTGAAATGCCTTTTGAATTCAACATTGTAACTCTGGCACGTCTTCAAATTATCAGAGCCTCCACCCCCAGCCTCGACCATCTTTCTCCTGAAGCTATTTACAATCGTAAATACCAAGGACGCTCACTGTCGTATCTAGGCGACAAAATGTGCAAAGAGAAAATGAGTTGCAAGCGTGTCTCAAAAACGCAAAAATAGATATAGCCTACAAATAATAGTAAGTTGACGAAGCTTGCATTGGAGAAGTTCATCAAAACATCAAATTGACTGTAGATCAAATAAAGCGGTGATCTCTCTACTCAGAGCAAGTCCAGAAATTCAAAAAAGCTGTGCAAACGTTTTCGAAAAAACCCAGTTCTAAGGTCCGGTTTCACGGATGTGGAATTTCAGCACCACATTTCACTGGACAGCCGAAGGGCAAAAAAATAATCTGCAAGTTTCCCTCGCTTGGCTTCAAAATGTGTCCATTTACTAATTATTTATTTTATTTATTGATTGATTTATTTTACTCTTCATGTGTTGTCATACAACATCCAAGAAACCTGTTGTTTATGCTTAAAAGTCTCTGGCGCAAAAAAAAAAAAAAAAAAACAGTGTAGGAAGTCAGCATGGAAGCGCATCATCTCCACACTCAAAAAATTAAAATGTCTCTGACACCCTCTGGTGGATTGAAAGAGACATTACACATTATAATCCAATTCCAAGTGAAATGAATTCGAGACCAATGAATTCAATTTACTAAAAGAACCAAATGGATAAAGTCGGACCAACATCTCAATATGATCATCAGAACCCAAACCAAAAAAGAAGAAATTATCTTAGAAAAATGCAAAAGACGCGTCTACAGAGAGCGCCGTGGTGGACAAGAACAGCAGCCACACACCGGCGATATGACGCGCTGCTTTATCTCAATTATTTTTATATCAAAGAACGTCAAGGTGGGTTTTTCACTGTCAGAGGCATTCTAGCATACTGTGGTCTCTGCCTGCGTGCAAACAGCCCGTAATGACGTGCTGCTGTTTGCACGCTAGAGACCATGCAGGCTTGGGTCCCCACAAGGAGCAGTGGGTCCCCACAACATGTCAGGAAAATGGTCCCCATGAGGTATTACAAACAAAGGCACATGTACACAGAGGTATTAAAAAGCATTTTCAATGTTTCTTATGAAAACATTAATAAATCTCTGTTCTTTCAACTCTTCCAAAGCCAATGTCATAAAATGCTTGTTTGCCATATCTGTGGTGCCTTGTATGTATCACGTGTTGAAGTAGTTTTCCCTCTCCTTGTCACCAGTAGGGGGCACTTAAGGAACTCTCTTGGTGTTGTTCTCTAAAGAACCTTGTTCTAACCTTGTTAGTGTTGTTCTCTAAAGAGAACCTGGTTAGAACAAGGTGAGATCTCTTCTGACATTTATTTGAATATTCTGATCACAAGAGAGCCAAATGAAACTGAATACTGTTATGCCTATGTAAGTTAAAATTTAAATATGACTATGACAAACCTTACAAATCTTATTAAGCTACCAGAAGGTGTGAATTTCTTAGTTAAAATGTGAGTTTTACTTGTAATTGAATGTTTGCTTTTCACACCTGTGATCTCCGCTGTGTCTTCTTGGAGCAACATTCAGGAAACGGTTGATCCTATCTGTTTAAACAGTAATATGACACTATGTGATGCATTTGTCATCACAATAAGTACAGCTTAGTTTCACTTCTGTACAAAAATAGACTCATTAAACCTGCCAGGCTTGTAGGTACAGGTAAAGATGTCTGTTTACAGGAATTAAGCAGGTTGTAAGAGGCAGCTATTGTTTCAGACTCAGGTCTTTCCAACAGTTTGTGAAGATTGTGTTCATGCAGTTTCATAGAATCACATGATCTGACTGAGACAGTCTGGCTGAGTGGGAAATATGCACATGATATATGAAGATAGAGCCAATATTAGAAGAGGAATGAATGAAGAAGAATGAGTGTTTTAAGAATTTTCTGCAAAAATCCCCTTAAACAGTTGCAAGTGAAACACTTACAACTGACTGCAGCTGCACAATGAAAGTTTGTCCTCCAAGGACTAACTTCCGTGTTTGGTTTTGGCATCATGTAAACCAGCTTAAATCAACATATCATTTAAAGGATTAGTTTATTTACATGGCTCTTTTTCACATCAAAGGTTATCTAAGGCTACAAGCAGTTTCAGTTCATATTCAGATACAAAATCAAATCCTGTCAATAAAATTCAAAATCATCAGCCCAACCCAAACATGGGCAGATTAAAATTGTGTTGCACAGATTACATTACAACCAAATTATAAATGTGATTCAATTGGATTCAGTTGATCATTTAACACCAGCTCACATAAATTGTCTAATGAAGCTCTGCTAACTGTTGTGGATGAACCCATCATCCTGCTCAAGGATGTGGCCAGAGTGAAACTGCTCTCACTGACTCGGATGAGACGTCCACAAAAACAAGGCTCAACATGAGGGACCGTCTACCATGACTGGGATTACAGAAAGGGAGACAGAAAACCCCTCACTAAAGAACTGCTCCAATTGTACTTTCTATAGCAAAAGACAAAACATATGGTGCAGAGTACATTGCAAAAAATAGCCTCAACCATCAAATGCACTCTAAACTCCCTAGTTTTAGAGCAAATTTGAAAATAAATGGCATCATAACGACCAAGGAACACAACAGGGTGATTGGGAATAAAGTTGTGGAGATGTTTGATGGTAATCTGGATTACGGCAGTAAAACTTGTAAAAGAATGTGCTCTGGTCAGATGAGCATAAAGTTAAACTTTTTGACCTCCATCCAAAGGCAATGATGGTGTGATTGTACACACCAAAAGATCTTTGTTTCTTAGGGACCTAAAGAAATAGCTGAATATATCCTTTTCTTACTGTCTTGTCAATGGAAGAAGAAAGAAGAGAAAGAAACCCTTGTTTTGATGAATTTATAGAGGGATAAAAAGCCTAACAGTGTTTATGAATTTGTATGCTTTTGTCAATTTTTATTTTTATTATTTTTATTGATGTGTGTACACCAATGATTGTGTACACACCAATGATTGTACACATCATTGGTGTGTACAATCACACCAATGATGGTGTGATTGCACATACCATCATTGCCACAGTAAAACATAGTGATGGCACCATTATACTCTGGGATTCCTTTAATTCACCAGCACAAGAGAAACTAGTCAAGCAATGGATGACGTCAAAGAAAGAAAATCTGTGAGAGTCGACAAAAGACTTGAGACTGGACAGACCTTAGACTTGAACATTAAAGTTTATAGTTTTCCAAATGGAGCCAGAGTTCCCTTTCAATAAAGTGAAACAAATATAATTTTCACCATTATGCTCAATCTGGCATTGGCATTTTTGGTTATAATGTGACAAAATGCAGAAAAATTGAATACATTTGTATTTCACTGCGTTAACATTGTGTATACATGATAAATTAGCATTATGTGGAAACTGGATCATATAACAATGCTCCACAACTCCATCTGGGGCTTTTCTCCGCTAAGAGGGGCTGTTTGAATAGCGTGCATATTATTTCCAGTGACCAGAAAAATGGAAGTGTTCCTTTATAGAGTCTGTATCGTTTCCCTATTCCTGACACATTTCTAGGCTATTTGTACGTCTGAGAGCTCTAGCGCTTACACAGTGAGGTGGAAGTATCTTCTCTAACTCGGCTTGTGGTCAGGACACTGTGATACAGAGAGGAAGGTGTTTCCCCTCGGATGCAAAATAATTAGATGAAGTGGAGTCGCACTGGCGACTTTCAAGACATAGGAACCTGACTTTTGACCTTTTCCTCATTTTTTGTGCTTGAGTTGTGGAATATAGAGCAAAAAAAGAATGCTGAGATGAAATTTTATTCTAGAAAGAGGAAGTGGTGTCCAATTTGGGATCAAGGAGCAAAACCAGTTGGTTTTTCATGCCGTTTGTCTAAAAACAACTCCCTCTCTCTGATTCAGTCTCACGACAAGTTCACACCTGCATGATTCAGACACTGAAAGTATCAGCACCACATGAATGTCTAAATGAGGCGTCTGGATTCTGTGGAACTGGGTGGTTTTGTGGCACACCATTTTAGCCAGGATCTAAAGGTCCACCTGGTCTACAAAAGTAAAGGTTCTTCTTAAAGCTTTCACCTAACTTTTTTTTTTTTTTTTTTTTTTTTTTTTGAGGTGTCACAATCCTGCATCAAGTGTGCCTTTAAATATTGTAACTTGGATTTTCACATGATTTTTATTTAAGAAATCCAGTCTTATAGTTGAAACTCAAAACAAACGCAACACTCGGACCTCCGATCTTACAAATGAAAACCCTGTAAATCAGTGGAACTCAAGATAAAGTCACTTCCAGCGGCGCGTTGATGGTTGGAAAAGATAAGACAAAGAGCATGTGGTGTGGTGTGTGGTGATGAAAAAACAGTCGATGACGTAAGGCAATCCCTCAACGTGATGAAACGACCAGCGAGAAGACTTTCAGTTTCCAGTGAAGCAGGGAGCTCAGGTCGCTCCACTTCCGTGTGGATGCCGCTCCCTTAAAAGGCGGAGGGTATGGCAGGCTGTTTTCACATAAAATCGATTTCACCGCACTCACGGTTCAAGATGTGTGAAATCGGTGACCATACATATTAGTAAATT